TTTTTTTTTACATTCATTGGTTGTTATAACAATATTTTGTGCCGATGCGTTTTGCTACGTTGCATTCTTATCTTGTAGTAATTTTTCTGTTAAAGAAGTTCCCTGAAATTACATATTTTAAAGGTGACAGAGACTAATCTATTTTATCAAGTTTTTTATTCGCATATGTATTGAATGAGCATTTAAATTATTTTACACTTTTAAGTAGATTGTAATAACTACAATTTGCTTATTTTGTGAATAAAAGTCCTGCAACTACAACTTTTAAAAGATCAAGTTAATTTCTAGCATACCATGCAATTAGAATAAACCTAGATCAACATTTTGTCACAACTTACAGGCATTAATATAATAGATAAACCTTCATAATAGTTTGACGATAGAGGTTTTTGCAAATTGTATTGATTGCGAATTACTGATAAATAGTTTGTAAACAATTGTTGAATTCTTTGAAAATGAATAATTTATGTATCATCCTAAATAATGCACACAATTGTTAAGATAACTGTAAGCACAGTGGGAGATATTTGAGAATTGATTTATAATAAGTATTCAGTAGCATTTCCAAACAGCATTTATTACATTATAAGTGTACCCCGCTGACAAGTTTTAAGCATGCAATTAATGTTTATTCTCCGTAGTATGGAGTCCTTCCTGTACATTTGAAATATTTTAGAATAATTTGACATTACCATTTTTGTTGACATTTAACATTATTTCATATTAATTAAGAATGTTTCCATGGTTAACTGCTGGGAGCTACTGTAGTTTATATATCCACAAGGGAGCAATCCTTGACATGAATAGTTGTGTTAGGAACTGTAATTTATGTTATTAAACAGCACATATTTCATTTGATTTTACCACACTCTGTGATTTATGAATTTTCCCAGTAGGGGATACAGTTACATATGAATTTGAATAGAAAAGTAAAACAATCGAACCTCTATAACACTAAAGTAAAAACTATAAGTTCGACATAAAGGATCAAACAAGAAATCCGTGTTCATTTAAATAAAATACAGTGATATAAGTATCATAGAAAACCAGTGGAGACATTGAATTAAAGGGATACAATGGTAATAACAAAGTCTCAGTCCACAAAGTGTTTTTTTCTGAGATTTAAAAAGTGTTTTTGTGTTATTTAAAAAAAAAAAATCTAAATGAAACAAATATGATATAAAGCTTAACAAAAATATTATGATGATACAAGGCTGTCCAATCAATCATATTTTCCCGAATGGCAAATATTTTCCTGTAGTTTGGACAATCCATATGTTACAAGAGATTAGTAAATATGTCCATTGACTAGATCAGTGGTAATCAACCTGGTCCCTACCGCCCAGAAGTAGGCGATTCAAGCTTTACGGTTGGCGATGGTGGGTTTTATTTGCCACCCTATGTTCTCTGGCACAACAACTTGCTCTGCACAGGCATGCGCCTCCCACCATCCATCAAGAGAGACCTCACAAAAACAACCAACACACATTGCCTCTGTTTGCTAAATCTCTTCTGACGGCTAAAAGGAAGCGCGCATGTGGCTGCACTCCTGATCAAGATGGATGGGGGCTTGATAATGTAACATGCCAGAATAGGAGGGGAGCTGATGCACTCGATGTGAACTCAATGACAGGAGGAAGTGTGGCGTTTAGTGTGACTGATATTTTCCTTGGGCAAGCTAAGTTCTGTTAGTTTATTTTGGCAAGCTAAGTTCTTTTATTTTCTATTTGCTAGGTTTACTTAACATAAAATAAAAAAGGTGAAGAAAAAAAGTAAAGGAAGGAGAAGGAGATAATAAAGAGAGAGGAAAAAGTGTCCCCTGATATAGAGAGATTCATTGTTTCTGTTTTTTTTTTTTGGTGTTGGATAATAATAAAGTGGGTTTCCTAGTTCAGCCTTCTTGCTGGATATTGCAATAAGAGATGAGCGTTTGTGTGGTCTCTAAGGTATTCCCTCTGGGTGGTTCGTTTCAAGTATGATGCTCTGCTAATTAACAGCTTGTTCCTAAATTCATTTTCACAGAGAAGGGTGTCGCTTAGGCTAGTGGTGTATCCTGGTTTTGTGCTGCCCTAGGCAGGACAAAACTCAGGCACCCCCCCGCGCCACCTCCACCCGCGCAACCGCCACCCAACCTTCCCCCCTGCTCCGCCTTCTAAATACACACACACACATTCACTGACAGATACGCATTCACTAGCTAACAGAAACACACAGTCACTAACAGACACACACTCACACACACACTAAGACATTCACACTAACAGACATCCACACTAACATACATACACTAACATTAACATACACACTAACACTAACAGACACACACACTAACACTAACATACACACACTAACATACACACACTAACACTAACATACACACTAACAGACACAAACACTAACATACACACACACACTAACAGACACACTAACATACACACACTAACAGACACACTAACATACACACACTAACAGACATCCACACACACACACACACTAACATACATACACACACTAACACACATACACACACTAACATACACACTAACAGACTTCCACACACACACTAGTGTTTTTTTTGTTTTTTTATTTAACCCCCCCCCAGCCTCCTTACCTTTGGTAATGCTGGGGGGGGTTCTTCCTCTCCCTGGGGTCCAGTGGCTGCAGCGCTGGGCGGGCGGGCGGCCGGCGAGGGAGCTCTTCCCCTGAGCGCTCTGCTCTGCTCAGCTCCCTCGCGCGCCGCCAGCAGAGTGAGGCTGGGAGCCGGAATATGACGTCATCTTCCGGCTCCCGGCCTCACTCTGCTGGCGGCGCGCGAGGGAGCTGAGCAGAGCGCTCAGGGGAAGAGCTCCCTCGCCGCCGCCCGCCCAGCGCCCAGAATGTCTGTTAGCCGCGAGGCTAACAAGACATTTGCCTTGGGCATTTGGGGGGCGGCGTTTTTTGCCGCCCCCTGAAAAATGCCGCCCAAGGCAAATGCCTTGTTTGCCTCGCGGCTAATACGCCCCTGGCTTAGGCACCATGGGGCTCTTCCTCTGTGATTAAATGTGTCTTTTAGTGTTATATCTGTCAGAGCATGGTCTGACCATACTATGTCCCCTATTCGACAGTCCACTACTGATGTGAGCATGTCCCTCGACAAGAGTATCATGTCAATCCTTGAATACGTTTTATGTACCAAAGAGTAGTCCGTATATTCCCTATCATTGGGGTGGAGAGTGTGCCAGATATCATATAAGCCATAGTCTGACACTAATTTGGTAATGGTTTGGGAGTTGTCATGTCTCTATGTGGATGGAAGTCTTGAAGTCTCCACGCAAATTTGCCTGCTGTGTGGGAAATTTGTTTAACACTTTATGTAGAAAATTACGTTGGTTTACATTGGAACCATATATGCCTATTAAAGTGTATGTGGCATCATTTCTTTTACAGTAGAGAATTAGATATCTCCCCTGTGGATCGTTTTTAAAGTGCAAGAGTTCAAAAGCAAGGGACTGTATCAAAAAGAAAAAAACCTCTAGTTTCTGAGGAATACGGGGCGTGGTATTGGATCGGGTAGGGTATTGTTATGTACAAGGCGTGTTTCCTGTACACACCGCATTTCTATGTTTCCTCATTTTGCCCTTTCTATGAGGACACGTTTTTGTGTGGGGTGTTCAGCCTCATAATTCAGTGGTATGTCGAGTATGTTTTTGGTGTGTCGGTTATCTGTCTTGGTTGGTTTGCCTAGCTCAGGGTGTGGTATCTTTCTGGGGATAGTGCCAGCCATACATTGCTCTGTTTTGGCATTGTACCCTAGTTGGTTCGCTATACTCACTAGACCGCAGACTCATAAGAGAAGGGAAGAAGAAAGGGAAAGGGAAATGTAAAACTTGGTAAAACATGAAACAAAATATCTACAAAAGGTCCCCTGTGGGGGTATAGTACACGGATGTTGTACTATGGGGGTTAGGGACACGTAGTCACCTGGTTTGTGACTATTGGGCTCTTGTTGGCTTTTAAGATGTAGCCTAAGAGGCTATGTGTCCCACCCTCTAATTAGTGCTGAGACTTTGTCTCTTTGGGAAGCATACCAGTGGTAATACTGTGTCTTATAATGTGGCTCAAAACATCTTCAATGAGGCTCAACTTATAAAACATAGTTTCCTGCTACCCTGTAGTTCATTACAGGACCAATGCTAGGCTGCAGAACTCTTCGAGGAGAGGTGGAGATATGGTGGGGTGCATATGAACATATTGCCCCCAACATCGCGTCGCAGTGACGCGAAGCCGAAGATGATACCTCTTTCATGGCCCGCTACCGGCATTAGCCGTAAACCATGCCATGTCGTGTATTAGGTAAACCTGGCCCCCTAGCAGGGAGCAACCAAGCCTCGGCCGCACCACCATGATCTAGTGTGTCCGATCACCCGTGGTGGGGACTACTCGAGGACCCCGCAGCCTATAACCTCCATACGGTGCAGTGTAAAGTGACACCCAGGGGCTTAGAGAAAGAGGGTATACTCGCCATGTGGATATTATAACTGCGGCGCCTGATGGAGCATATCCTTGTTAGAGCGGTAGCGCTGAGTGGGTGGGGGCTAAACTCAATACCAGTGGGCACATAGAAGCCAACTTTTGGGATACAGCTTGATATATATCATGTCCATTTCAGGGCCAGCGATGACTGCCTGTGAATTTACAAGGATGTGTAATTAGTCCGTCATGGTACCTGTAAAGGGAATTAGCGTTTTGCCATATCATCCTCGTAGACATAATAGCCTTATCCCCACTCAACATTACTAATCTATAGGTATGACTGCAGTCAGGATTTTGTCTAATAAAGACAGTGGCTTTATATGAAGCTTTACGGCTTCACCCTCGTATTACCCACCACCCGGTCTTCCCATCTCAGGATCCCAGACAAGTGGCGGTAGGGTTTCAATACCTTTGTACATCTTAGAGCAAGAGGCCTAGTCTAACTATATATGAGCATATGTTATGTAGGTATGCAGTTTGTCTGCGTCTTATGTGAATAGAAATAGTGGAAGTGAGGTCTGTCCATGGAGTAATTGTGGGTGTGCGGTGGCGTAGTCATCCATTTTGGATTCTATGTGAGACGTTCTTTTGCCCAGTTCTTGCACATCTTTTCTGAGGTAGTCCATAGAATAATACCATGTGGTTATCAGCTTCTGGGATAACGCATCCAGTGCTTGTAGTAGATAATTTTTGGTGATATTCTCTGAGTCAGATGAGGTCCCCATAGTTGGTATGGAAGTACTGTCCTCTGTTTTTTCATCTCCATATTTGGGGAAGGCCCGTTCCTCTTTGTGCTCAGTTTGTGTTTTTTCTGGCCGAATAAGTTTGTTTTTTCCGCTTTAGTGGCACTCTTCTTGCTCTTGTGCAGTGCCATTTTTTTTTTGTTTTGCAGGAGGCGTTCTACATGTAAGGATTGGATCAGATTGTGAGCCCGTGTTACTGTTACTGCAATGATAAATTGAGTTTGAGGCATCTTAAATTTGAGAATGTAAGGAAACTTCTAGGACTTCAGTCACATCCAGTGAGTTCTGTTTGCATTTAATACAATAATCTTCTGCAAAAACAAGCTATTCACAGGATGTGGCTTATTACAACTAAATAGCACATCCATGATCTCCAATCTATTACTTTGCCTGTAGTCCACCAACTCAACAGTATAATTTAATTAAAGTCAAGTTCTTTGCTTAAGTATTGTTGCTTATGCTTGTCACATTGGATTTTCTCTTTCTAAGACTGCTTTATATTGCTCAAGTAAAATTATTTTACCTTAAAGGAACACTATAGTCACCTAAATTACTTTAGCTAAATAAAGCAGTTTTAGTGTACAGATCATTCCCCTGCAATTTCACTGCTCAATTCACTGTCATTTAGGAGTTAAATCACTTTGTTTCTGTTTATGCAGCCCTAGCCACACCTCCCCTGGCTATGATTGACAGTGCCTGCATGAAAAAAACAACTGGTTTCACTTTCAAACAGATGTAATTTACCTTAAATAATTGTATCTCAATCTCTAAATTGAACTTAAATCACATACAGGAGGCTCTTGCATGGTCTAGCAAGCTATTAATATAGCAGGGGATAAGAAAATCGTAATTAAACAGAACTTGCAATAAAGAAAGCCTAAATAGGGCTCTCTTTCAAACAGATGTTTGAACTTACATGAAGTGTTTATGGAAGGCTGTGCAAGTCACATGCAGGGAGGTGTGACTAGGGTTCATAAACAAAGGGATTTAACTACTAAATGGCAGAGGATTGAACAGTGAGGCTGCAGGGGCATGTTCGATACACCAAAACTGCTTCATTAAGCTAAAGTTGTTCAGGTGACTATAGTGTCCCTTTAATTTACTTTATGGCATTGCTTGCTTGCCTTCTCTGCTATAGATTTCCTAATTTTTGACTGATTGTTTTTCTGAAAAACACTTTTAGTATAAACCTGAGGATTTTCTCAATGGACATGATTGTAGTATGTGAGGATTAACATATCACAAAATCCTATCCTAGTAATCATTGATGTTCTAACTTTGCACTACAACTGTTTTAACCCCTTAAGGACCAAACTTCTGGCATAAAAGGGAATCATGACATGTCACACATGTCATGTGTTCTTAAGGGGTTAATAGCTAACAAGCAAGTGTAGCAGTCTTCTGGGACTAGAACTCCCTGAAGCCTCTTCAGTAAGGGTTTACGGTAAAGGAAAATAATTTTTTTTTAATTTCCAAATTAAATTTTTCTCAGGTGTGCTGATTCTTCTAGAAATAATGTATTGTGTACGCTATTAAGATACTAGTATAGTTATTGCTTTGCAACTATTTCCTCAGTTAAAGGACAACTGTCACCTCTATTTTTATATAATATTCCTTTCATCAAGTTATTCCTTTAATCAATAGATTTAAAAAAAATATATATATATATTTATGTTTAATATAGTGAATAGGTAAGTCCTTGAACGAATACCGAATTATATGCATGACGGGCGAATCCAGAGAGCTACCATGCTCACTTCAACTGCCCCTGGGCACCATACTACAGTGATATTAAAAGGGAGGGAAGTGCTCCCTCAAAGCTCGTGGACCAGCTAATTGTAATCTCCACAAACATCATACTGTCGTCTACAAAGAAATCTTCATCACGTATCCAAGCATCTTTACGTGTGCTCATTGACGGACTTAGAGGACATCCAGCCCACAACATTTTTTTCTCTAGCTCCAGAAGACCTACGAACATACCAGGCTATTTACCCACAACCTCACATCAGTATCTGAGACAGACGGAACTGGGCATACAACCCATATCTATATACTCAGGTCGGACTCCCAATGCCACTCTTTTGACTTTTTTCTGTCATGTTTTTCTATTCTCCTTTATTATTATTATTTATTATTATTTTAATTTTACTTTTACCTTTATTTGTATTTTTATATTTATTTTTATCCTACTTTTGCAATTTTTCCAAATTTACTTTTGCATCCCCTCATCATATTGTTCAACCCCGTTTTTTTCTGGTAAACGATTCAATTTTTGCACCTCTTACAACAACTATTTTTAATATATATATATATATATATTTCATTCCATTTATCCTTTTTTATATCTTATATTTTTACATATTTACAGTTTTGAACTAGACTTGCATTTTTTACCTCTCCCTCTCCATATTTTGGGAGCCCCATAAGATTGTGCACACTCAGACGCTATTAACAATGGTACCAGCAATTAATTTGTTTTTATAAATATATATTTTATTAATTAGCTTCAATATTGTGTTTATTTTATGATCCAATAAGACTCAATACATTCTTAAATTATCTAGTTCTTCTGTCCTAATATTTTTATATATGTATATCACATTTGCACTTTCTTTTTCAACTTGTTAAATACAATAGAATAGTTTGTCTTTTGTGTGTGTGTGTGTGTGTGTGTATATAAGTACTATGTTTTTTTTCATGTCATTAAGAGGTCCCCCTCAGTACATGCATACTAATTCAGGATCATCAAAGAAACAACAAACGTGTGCTATTTGTGACAATTGCTAACAAAAAGTGCTAACAAAATTTTAAAACAAGCAGTCGGAAAGTCTCATTAAAACAGTTTCCTGCTGTAGGGAATGGTGTGTATCTGGACATTGTAATTTTAAGTATGTCTTTCATGAGAAGTTCCATGTTGGGCAATGCTCGATTCTGTTTCAGTCTGTTTTTCAATAATTGAGACCCATGGTTTCCATGTTTGGGTGTACTGTGGGTACTTGTGCCTCATTGAATAACAGAACTCTTCCATGACCCTTATTTCTGATGGCAAATGTCTGGGGCAGTGGGAAAAGGGCTATTGAGTTTAATGACATTGGGTTATTCATTTATAGTTACTTTCTTGAGTTGCCACATTGAGGGAAGAACCATGTGCAAACAGGAAAATTTTTCTCTATTCCAAGTATGTCTCTGAAAGCTGTAATGAGTGTGTACATCTGGAGGTTCATTTTGGTAATTCAACCCACTGTTTTTGATTGAGTAGATCATAAAATATAGAAAGATATTTTTTGCGGATGGTGCGGAACAGTAAACTTCGAACTTAGAATGGTTATGGTTACCTTTCTGGAAGCCAATAAAATGGTTTAATTGTCTTTAGTGGAATGACTGTAACACAGTTGAGATCTTTGTGTGCGTAATAGATGCCAATGTTCTAATCCCGGATGGGGCTAACATATTACCTAATCTAAGGTATGTGTAAGAGTGATAATAGTCTCTATATTGTTGTCCGCTTAAACCTGGCTTAAATAGATGATTGTGTTATAGTAGGTAGAAAGAAGAAGGGAAAGGCAATATGTTCTTTGCAAGTCTAATCATATTCATAAAGTAAGTGTTATTCTAGGGTGTAGTGGTTGAATCAGAAATGTGCTTCTCTTTTGATGCCACGGGATAGTATTACAGAAGCTTGGAATGAGAAACAGTTCAGTTGAACCCATTGTTTCTCAATGTTGGGTATGGACCACTCATAAACTCTGGACAGTCTATTTGCTTTTTAATATAAGTCAAGGTCATGGAGCCTCAGGACTGAATCTGCCTTCGAACATATTAATAGATTATATGCCAATCTAGGATGTCTGTATGACCATATAAATGCCTTAAATAGTTTACATATTGTAATAAAGAATATTTTGTGAAGATGTATAGGCAGTACTTGGGTAATTTAGAGCAAGCTGGGGAGCAGATTGATTTTCAAAATATTGGTTCTACATAACCATCCAAAATGTGACAAATGCCACTTTTTCAAGTCTTGTGATATAGATTTGATTAAAGTAGAAATATTTAAGTCATAGAGTTGTGATGGTGTGTTTGAAAGGAAGACTACTAAGTATTTTAAAGCTTTGTCAGCCCAAGCAAAGGTGAAGTATGGCCAAACTGTTTCTTTCATCTTAGGTTCTACATGTAGTGCCAAAATTTCACATTTAGAGAGATTGGCTTTGAAATTAGAGATTTGGTCAAATATTACAGTTTCCCAAAATATGTAAGGTAGTGTGGGTAAAGAATCAAAGACCGTAAAAAAAAAGGTCCTTGGCAACAGCTGACACTTTGAATTTCTATTTTTCTACTTTAAAGATCTGGATATGCCAATTATCTGGAGAAATGTTTCCAAGACCAAAATGAAAATAAGTGGGGAGAGGGGGCACTGGTCTCCTGAGATTTTTACTAGGGACTGGAGATGAAAGATGCCTGTTAATACAGAGCCTCATGGTAGGGACTGAATATAGTGCCTTCATCCAGCCTAGCCAGTTGGGTCCAATTCCCATGGCTTTTAAGGTGACTAGTAAAAGGGACCAGTCTACCTTGTCAAATGCCTTTTCACATCTATACATAACAGAATACTGGTGGTTTATGAGGCCTTACGTAGACAGATGAGGTTAATGATTTTAGTAGTGTTGTTCTTAGCTTTGCAACATGGTACAAAGCCTACTTGATCAGGGTGGACTAGTCCTGGGAGGAGCTTCTGCAGATGATAAACAGTTTAAGATCTATGTTCATTAAAGAAATAGGACAGGAACTCCCACAATTGGTGGGGGTCTTTGTCTAGTTTTGGTTAAAGGGCTATGTCGACATTTACAGCTGAGAGAGGAAGCTGGTTATCAGAGATGAGGGAGTTATAGGCATTAACAAAAGTATCAGTAAGAGAGGCAGAGATAGTTTTATAATATCTAGCAGTCAAGCTATCTGGCCCTGGATTTTTTTCCCAGTGG